AGGCACAGATCTATTTATTTACTTACTTTTAAATAGTGGGCAGGCTCAAGTTCTCTGAAGAATTTCTTCTGGGCATGTGTACTTTTTTACTCAGGGTCACACTTGGGTATGCTTGTGTTTTTGCTTAAGACTGAGAAAATTACTGTGGTTCACTCTGCTGTCTGAGTTCCCTTGTAAACAAAGAACATTATTTCTCCCACACTGTCAGTGAGTGGCATTTATGTCTAAAAGGTATTTTGATACACTTCACAAAAAGCACTTTTCAGGTCAACTACTAGCTCTTCACCAAAAAAGAGGGCAGAAGGCCAGGCTTTGGGAGGTGGTGCTTCAAACAATCTCACATCTGGCTAGCAGGCAAGTTACAGATCCTGGTTCTCCTACAACTGCCCATGGCCTGGGGGTTAAATATACAGAGGCTGAGGCAAGCAACAGGTGTGTATTTGCCAGAAGACAGAAAAGGGACACTACAATCTACTTGCAGAGAGTTCAGTGCCTCCTTTGTTGTCCCATTCCTGGAACGGGTGATTCTTGTTTTATCCTAGCACCTTTCCAGGTGAATGCCATCCTGAAAACCAAAACAGAATCATGCCATGTCACTATATAGCACTGGCACAACAGTAGAGTTTGGAGGTTGAACGGACTACCAAAAGGCATCTACTCTGGCCTACAAAGACTAAGGCAAACCCATTATCCAGGGACTGAAGTCTACTCAGCCCCAAATGGTTGTGCTCCTATTTTGCTACTTTATCGGCAAAGCTGTTGTTTTGTTTCTGTCGCTGGTGTTGGGAAAATCCAAATAAATCTTTATAAAGTGAGGTTGCTTGTACATGCCTCTGCGACATAAAATCCAACCTACGGTGCCCCTCCTCCTCTTGCCCAGAAAGAATGAGAACTTCCAGCCCTGCTGCTTCTTCCTCAGCATGGAGGCTTCATCACTCATCTGCTCCTTTAAGAAACTGAGACTCTCCGCTCATCTGAGGTAGCTGCTACATTGCTACAAAGTTAGTCCTCTACTGTATTTTGGTGCTCCTGACTTGTCACACTGTTAGCTCCTGTATTTTGCTTCGATGAGACACTGTATCGTGTTTTCTGCTGGGCTGCTATGAGCCGCCTGGACTAGATTTTCCTGTTCTTATGAAATTGCCTGTGCTTGCATGTCAAAACCCACAACTAGGATCCATTATGATTCATGTGTCTTACTATTTGCCATGTCAATTCTCCGCTAATCACTGATATTGTAACGTTGTGTCATATCCCCCTGCAGTTAATTATATTGTTCTGTTTATGGATGCATGCCCCCCTTGAGCACCGTGGAGGAAAGGTGGAGTGCAACTGAGTGGAAAGATGCTGGGGAAGCAGCACCTCTTGCAGAATGAGGAACCCCCCACTGCTGCCACTGTGGCTCCCAAAATAGCGGCCACTCGACGCTTGGAGGGAGGATGTGGATGTGGAGTGGGAAACACAAAGAGACAACAGAGCAGACAGAGGTCACAGGGGGGTCCTTTGGGGGTTGATGTTCTCTGGAACTGAATTGCAAGGAAGAAAGAGGTGCACATGGTAGGCATGTTATGAGCACAGCTGACTGGCGCTGGGGTCAGACTAGATGGCCCAGGAGACCCCTTTTAACTTGCTCTGATTCTACGTTTCAATGTTTCTATCTTTTGAACTGAACCTATTCTTCCCTCATCATCAACTCCGCTCCTCAGTAGGTGACTTGAAACCTATAAAACATTTTGTATATGCTCAGGGAACTTGTAGTTGGTGGGTGTACCTCTTCCTGGCAGCACTGTTATAAGTTTGGTCTCTGCAGAGGGGTTTTTCCTGGGTGTTCTCACCAATAAAACTGCTGACGTTTGAGACAAAGATGTCTTCCTGTGGATCTGAGCATACATTCACCCAGGCTGCTAAACCAGGATTTCCTGCCACTAGCAAAGTTTGTTTTTCCAGTCAGCGGGTCAACTATGGGTGCTCCACAGAAATTAGCTGGTTCCTTTCACAGTTAGAAAAGATATCGGCACCCACCCACCTTTGTGAAAAAAACAAACTCTGTACTGATAGTCAAGTATAATTTACTCTCCTGGCCTCAGTGACGATTATTTTCACTGGGGCCACTGGGAAATGAACCATCCTATTATCTCTAGTCAGATGGCCAAAGAATGGGTGGGCCATCCCACCCATTCTTTACACATATTTTGCCCAAATCTTTGAAACATTGCCTAAAGCAAAAGTAAAATTCAGTGGGCTTCCTCAGAGAAAACCTCTGAGAAATTGTTTTGATAAAGCCAGTGTAATTCCTGGAGGAGCAGGCATTGCAAGTACTGCTTGTTTTTCATAGCTGTTTTTAAGTAACTACATCTGTCACAATAGCAACTAAGGTAGTACTTTGCCAATGCTAGAAAACATCTATTTAGATGCAATGGGAAACCATGTTTTTTGCAGCCCGATGGAGGATGACAGCCTTAACATATCACTAGTGGCTTGCATACGTGGCATACAATATTTTTGCCTCAGTCTAATGAGGGAAGAAATCCCTGTCCCATAAGCTTTCCCCAAAGTGCACAAGGGGCAGTTAGTTCAAGGTTAGATGATCCGAAACGCATGTGAACTTCCCAGACTCCAGCACAGCTGCACTAAGGAGATGGAAAGCATCTACTTCTATTTATAACCAACTACCATTTGTTCTCAAGTTTGAATCAAAAGAAATGATGATTAATTTTGACTATGATTTACTGAAATGAGCAAACCTCAGACAATGGTTAATAATCTTGGCTTGTTTCAGTAAGCCATAGTTACACAAATCATAGTTCAGAAGTAGCAAACCACATTTAGCTCAAACTGGAAGAGAATTATTCCAAACTGGAAAGATAATTATTTCCAAAATGGGGAGACTGGGCCTACTATAAAGATACTACAAATCATCTCATCAACAAAGTAGATTGTCTTCTATCAGCTTGGGCTGGTGACCCAGCTATACCACTGCCTGGACAGGAATAACCTGTATTAATTGTCTGTCCTCTAGTAACCTCCAAGTTAGATTATGGCAATGTACTCTATGTGGGTTTGCCCTTGAAGTCTGTTCAGAAGCTGTAGCTTGTGAGAAATTCAAGAAACAGATAAATGACTGAGGCCAGAAGGTCTGTGCATGTAAGAATTGTGGACTGCTAACACTGGCTGCCTGTATGTTTCAAAGACTGAATCAAGGTGCTGGTTTTGGCTAATAAAGACTTTCATGGCTCAGGATTAAAATACCTGACAGAGTACAACTCCCAACGTGAATGCACTAGGACACTGTGATCAACTTCTGAGGTATGTGCAGAAGGTTAGCAACAAGAGAGAGGGTCTTCTCTGTGGCAGTGCCCCAGTTACAGGATAAACCTCCCCTGTGAGGCCTGCGTGGTACCAGCACTATCAGCTTTTCGGCACCAGTTTAATACTGTTTCTGCTCCCAGACATGAGATGAGATTGGATGGGGCATTTATGTCTGCTGTTTTCCTCAGATCTAGAATCTCATTGCAACTGTTTTAGCTGTTTAAACCATTTTAAACTTTGCAGGTTAAAGATTTTATACTACATTTTGTTATCTTGTATTTGTGATCTGTAATTTGTGTGAACCACCCAGAGAGGTTTGCCTACCGGTTGCCATAAACTGAAATATAAACATTCCAACAAATGCAAAAAATATAAAGCCACAGCATCGGCACTGTATACCACATGTCCTTCTGAAGCGTTTTGTTCTACTGGCTCATCTGCAAATAATTTATCAGTTGATTATTCATTACTTAACAGAACCACACTCTTTCTCTATTCATGAACAGGTGACATAAATGTTAGCCTAGGAGAAATGTCATCTTTGGGCACATTCTTACATTTTGCATACAACATTTTCTTGGTTTTAGCAAAAGGATAAATAAAAAATAAAGGCAGCCACTGAACTCATTGCTAGAACAGCCTGTCAGCCTCTGGAGCAATAACAAAAACAGAATGGAACATATGGCTGCATTTTATGCAGTATTCACCAAAGACAAATCTCTGCAGGACCTGAAGCATAAATGTGGAATTACTTAGCACGTTCTGCTTTCTATTCTATTTATGCATCTAGACGTTTGGGGACTAGAATTGCGTTTGCTGGGCACTCCAGGCTGAAGCTGATGAGATGGATTTGCGGTTGCTCTGTACTCTTGAAAAACAGTTCTAGGGATTTTGTTTTGTGGCTTGTTGTTCTTCAGTTCAAGTGCTACCAATGCGCATTCAAAAAGCCAATATTATGCAGTGACATTTGAAAACTGTGTCTTTCAGATCTACTGAGAAATAGCTGGTTAATACAATGCATGCATCCAGCGTTGTAGAGGGAGAATAGCTCAATAACAGAACACATTCCTTGCTTTGAAAAGGTCCCAGTTCATTTCTTGGCATCTTCCCACTTAATACCAACACCTTCCTAGGAAAACAACAGCTAAAGAAATAATCCTTTAAGCCCTTTGACTCATAATATCCAGGATCAGTTACTTGGAATAGGGCCAGAATCAGCCTCTCCCCACATTTATTAGATAGTTTAAAAAAAACAGCTAGTCTTCCCTAATGTTCCTTTATTTAAAATCACTTCTTTCCATTCTTGTGATTGCAATTTCCCTGGAAAATTTATAGAAGGTATAAAGGCAGAAAGGATCTCTGGAAGATTTCGTTGACTTCAGTGAAGTTGAAGGCAGTAGTAGGTTTTCTCATCTCTCCTGACTTCATAAGACAAAAATTTAAGATGTATAGTTTGCAAATTCAATAAAGTTTCCAAACCACATGACTTTCCAAATATATAACCAAATAAATATCACCAAAGTGAGGGGAAATGGTGCTTATCTGATTATTGGTTTTCTGATGTCTGTTGCAATGGGTAGGTACATATGTATCAGTACATATTAAATCTCTTAAATGTAAGGTTAACTAGTACATGGTAATATACACCAGCATAAAACAGCAACCTACTGAACTGAAAATAGGGCATTTACCTGGAACAAAGCTTCCCTGGACCACCTCCTTATAAGCCCACCAGCCTTCATGGATTTTTGGTGAATTCTGCTGAGCTAGAGGAAGAAAAAACAAAAGCAACCATAAAAGGAGAGCAACGCCATATCTTCCATTTCAACTTCCTAACTGCTTTAAGCTGTTCATGTTGCTTTTACAACATCCCAGAAATGCTAAAAGAAGCACTGCTATCTTGCACAACATTCATGAGAGCTATTAGAGTCCGTGCACCAACCCTCAGCATAGATTGCAAGCCTTGTTCACGAAAATGAGGTTAACATGCAGACAGTACCTCAGCATTGGTTTCAATTGTGCTTCTGCACATTTTTCTTGCATTTAAAGACTATTATATCCAATAGGGAATTATTTTAATGGGTTCTTTTCATATTTACTCTAGGCCAGGCACAGCATCGGGTTATGGGGCAGCATAGAAAAGGAAATAAAGTAAAATAAAATAAAATAAAATAATCCTGATCAGGAACATAGTGTGGTGGTAGATGGCTTTAACTCCAAGTCCTGGCTATAGGTTCACTTCAGACCAGGTTCTCCCGTGCTTGCAATTTCTATTGCAAAACAGTAATGTGTTTGCTTTATGGATTATCATTTTGCAAAAGAAACTGCAGGCCTATGTGTGTGATCTGGATTGGTCCCATAATGGAAGGAAAGGGTTAAAGCTCCCTGCTGCCTGTGCGCCCCCTCCCCCAGCCCCACTCCCAATGCTATGATCCTAATCTTCTGCTATGATCCTAAGTGTTATCCTAACTGATAACACTTCAGTTATCTTGCACCTGGCCTTCCATTTACTTTTCAATAAATCTTCCAAAGCAAACTCTGAACTCAGGATGCATTGAGAAAAGTGAATTACCGCAACAATACCTTTTTTTAGTTCTAATATCTGTTAAGGCAGGATGAGATACTACTTCAGATTCTGTTCCTTAACCTAAGGACAGTTGAGAAGCATTACAGAGTTCAAAATAACATTTCCAATGTTTATTTAGGAGAACATATGCTTCTGAATCAACACCAAGAGCTAACAAAAATAAGAGAGACAGCAGACTTTTCTTTTCAAAAGCCTCAGTTTAATGTTCCCAGGAAATTTGCATTTCTTAAATCAATATTGTTAAGCTTTGCAAGGTTCAAAACTGACTGCTATGAAGAAGAATCAGAGATACTTATGTTCTAAATCATGGGTGAGATTGAACAAATAAACCAGGAAAAATCCCAGATTTTAACTAGTTCTTCCAAGCACAGTTATAAGGACCATTTATCTCCTTATGACCTGATGGCCATATGAAATAGAACTGGGATGTACTTCCCTTGGATGGGAAGTAATCATTCAGATGAACATAGAAATATACAACTGGATTCCAATGGCCTGTGTGCAAACAGCCACTTGAAATTCTCTACTTGTGGGCAGGGCATTTTGGAGACTATTTCACAGCATTTCTCTAAGGCAAGGTGAAATTTCCACCAGTTCCTTGACAGTATAAAGCAGCAGCAGCAGCAATACAGCTCTCTCACCTGTCACTGCAGGTAACGGCAGTACCACTGAACTGGCAACCTGGCCATCATGCTGCATCTTCGTCAAGGCACTGGAACAATGCCCTCCCAGCGCATTGTGCGTGAGGGGTGGGAGGTATGATGCCTGCCACAAAACAATGGGGAATGTGCAGAGAAAATTCTGCACAGCAGCCCTTCCTTCCTTCCTTCCTTCCTTCCTTCCTTCCTTCCTTCCTTCCTTCCTTCCTTCCTTCCTTCCTTCCTTCTTCTTTCTGGTGTGGTGGCAAAAAGAGAACTCTCAGAAGGGCTTGTAGGAAAATGGTCTGCTGAGGAAATCTGGTTTACTTCCTAAACTGCAAGTGCTGGTTTCTGATAGCAGCAGTGGGGGAAAAAAGGCCAGTCAATTAAATATTGAAGTTACTTAGTCCTATACAACCACTTGGCCTAAATAGTGAGAACAAACATGAACATGAAGGACAGGAACGTGCGTGCCTGCCATGGCCGATCAGCGTCCTTGTGTGGAACGAGGGAGCTCCGCAGCCAGTTTATCCTTGCTTTATTTATCATTAATTTATTTAAAACATTTTTATCCCATCTATATCTGAGACAGATCTCAAGACCAAAAGTGTAACAGCACATTAGATAACATAATTTCAATATATATAAATATGTGGTAAAAGCAATTCTATATTATATAATTTTCCATATAAGACACCTTGACACAGCCAGGAACCCCGCTTTCTTAGGGGTCCTGATGGCACAGAGGGCTCTACTCATGTCCAAGTGAGGTACAGAACGGGTTATGTGTGAGGTTGTTGGAGGCAGAGCTGTCGTGCATGGGTTTATCCCTCCCATTCTGAATATGGTTACTCTTGAAATGAAATCCTTCTTTCAGTGGCATAGGACCATTACCATAATAACTTATGGTACACTCCGTTTAAAGATTTTGGGAACCCTTCAGCTATTTACAGACTGTTTGTAATTTATCTGTATCACCTGCACTATGCCTGAACCTCTCTGAGAGCGAGCATACAGAATCAAAAAGATGATAATTTTGCAAACATTTTATATTCCCAGATTATTTCTGCAGAACAGATCTTAAAGAGAGGTTGCAGCAGAATTTACATGCAGCTTCATCTTCACTTTTTCTACCAAATGCAGGTCAGTTTAGTACAAGTGAGAAAATTCCATTTACTTTCCTGCATAGAGCTTTTGTGCCTAAAAGAAAGCCTGATTATCGTGGTTCCTTCTAAATAACTGGCTGACAGAGTGTAACTGTATCAGAAAACAGTCAATGACCTGGCAATGCTGTCAGTACTCTATATTTATAAAATCCTTATCAGGTCAACAAGCATCAAGTTAATCATTCTAAAAAGAAGCTCACCGGGAAAAGCATTAACAAGCACATCCTAAATCACACTGTACAATCACAAATACAAGGTTAAGACAGATTCACCAATGTCTGCGTTAAGAACTCTGGGGCTGCTATGAAATTAGATAGGTTAGAGCAAATGTCCAGGATTATAGTGCCAGGGATACGGTCTGAAAGGCACTTAAAATAATGGAGGGAGGACAAAAATACTCTCAGAGCTGATCCTGAACACTTGGAAGGACGCTGGAAGGAAAGCTCACTGTGCTGTTAAGCAAGCGATTTGGGGGACTTATCCTTGGGACAAATTCTTTGTGTTATGAAGTCTCTACATTTGACATCAGACCCAGGAAAACATTCTTGACCACATTGGGCATGGAAAACATGGCTGCCATGAATGTGCACTCTGCTGCCCGATGAAACACACTCTGGTGGCACCAAGCAGAGTGACTTTCTCCTCAGAATAACAATGCAAGCTCCATTTTGCACACGGAGAGTTGGCAAGGAAGCCAGTGGGTGCCCAAGAGTCTTCCCCGTTTTTCCAAGCATTGTGATTCAAAAGGCCATGAGAAGGTCTAGCAAGATGAGCAAGGAGGCTGGGTATTTTCTTTAAACCTTAATCCATTTCAGAGCTGGATTAGTAACAGCCATCCCTCAAAACATGGGTCTGGGGAAGCTGAAGGATACAGCCCCGGGAGCACTCCTTGTCAAGCACCCCGTCTCCTGTACACATAGCACAGCAGGCCTACGCAAGTGCCTTTCAACCCCATCTGATGGGATGGCATCCCAAACAAGTCCAAGCTCACAATTCTGCTACAGATGCCAGCTAGCAAGAAAAGCTTTTAAAATAGCCTAAAATACATTGCCCGTGTCTTCATCCCAGTGCAGAAATGTGCAGCTGTGACACAGAGCCACCTAATTTGAACAGGCAGAGCAAACCCCTTCCACTATGCTACAGAAAATGCAATTCTATCCTAATGGCTTGAAGAAACACATCAGTCAGGTGTGCTTTCACCAACCGACGATTCTATTGCAGCGGCAAGTCTCTAGATGAGTTCCTACTCCCTCCTATCTAACGGTTTTGTGTGCAAGCCACGACATGAATCTGGCTGCAGCAGCTCTTACCAAAACAGTAGCTTGGATGATGCAGTCTGAGCACAACATCTGCAACCTGCTGGCGTGTCTACTGCAACGCTACTGCTGGTGACCATGGGATAGTTTCATTCTGCTTGCACCTGATTGTGAACATCTATTGACCACATCAATAGCTGTGAGGCATTCCTGGGATTCCCTGATTTCAGTGTCAGCCATGCGAAAAACAGATGCAAGCCATGCCTTGTCTGAATTCTACTATGACTGTTCAAGGCTCTTCCTGCTGTTAGATTTATTTGTTTAAATTATTTATCTATCACTTGATACTGTAAGTTTGCTAAGCAGTTTTGTAAGAAATTCATAAAATATAATCTAAAAGCCAATTAAAAAAAACAAGAAATACACCATTAGTTTGTATTTTATGGTGTTAATTGTTGAAAACTATCCAGAGAACATGGGCTCTTGGGCAGTATAGGAATGTAATAAAAATGTAGCATCTTATTAATGCTTCACTTGCAAAAAGCTAATAACTGCACATCCAATTCTTGCAAATAATGCTAAGAGAGGTTCTTGATGGCACAGACTCATCCAAGAGAAAACTGTTTAGGTCTACACTGCACATGCCCTGTGATAGTTGGGATCATGGATGGACCTACCTATCTTGGGATCACCAGCTTTCTGAAGTCAAGCACATTCTATCCATTATCTGCTTGTAATTTTTAATTTTAAAATGTATAAAACGTGTACAAATGGTTCATGTTGCACAATAAATGTATACAATTTTGTATATATTTGTAAACATATGGGCTTCTGTATACATGCACCCATGCACTAACTTATGTTGGTACACATTTTGGAAATATACACATTTTTCATGGTATTTTCCCCTAAAGGTACACTTGTTAAACACACATTCTTTGTTTGTGGAATGGATCTTAAGCTCAGAAATGTACAAATATAGGACTATAATTTGTGCCCAGGTTTGGGAGGTACCATATGGGTAAATCCTGAGGGCAAGAGGGTGGGGATCAACCTCAGTGGAACACATTTCTCTCTTGCTCCCAGATCATGAGTAATGCACTTAGTCCATTAGGACCA